GCTGAAATAAACACATACAGCAGGGGTACAGGCAACCTTCGCAAGATTCTGCTGAAATCTGTCTTGCAACACAATAGGAGAGTTTGGCTCGCCCAGCAAAATCATCCGAAGATGAGAATATGTTCATCCGATTTGTATTTGGGTTTTGGGCATGGTTCAAGCCTCATCTGGTCTGTCTTTCTGGGAGAATTGAAGAGTTCAGTCAAACTATTTATCCAAAAGCTATATATTTTTGTTCATGTGAATTCTCAGATTAATAGCAAAAATGCGTGAATAAACAGACAAAATTAACATATAAAACTATTATGCTAACAAATGAATATGAAAAAAGATCTGATTTGCTTTAAAAAAATATACTAACCATTGTTTTTTTTGAATATTTTAATTTAGTTAGGAAATCATAAAATAATCTGAAAGACATAATATTCTACTATAGAAAAGAATTCTAATTTGTTTCTTGATAAAAGTGCACTTATCCATTTTAAATGGAATAAGAGCCAAGACTGTTTTTTCAAAAAAAGTACTCAAACATAAAGACAAAGGAGTACAATTCCTTTCAAAGCAAGCCCATAACTTGAGTTTACGCAGTTTACAAAACATTTTCAAATGAATATGCTTTTCTAGTAAGGCCTCTGACTAGCCACACTTGAGGAAACTCTGTATGTTGCAAAGAACAAAGATTTCCATTCCTACAACACAGGAGAGAGAAGGAAGGGTAAGGTGATCTGCCCTCCAAGGAAGCTGGGGCCCAGGCTCATATGTGGTTTATCCAACTGCACTTCTGGAGTGGAATCATCAGGGCTCTGTCCACCACAGGATCCGGCCTTCTTTCATAGAAACCTTGGTGAGCCTACGGAATGCTAAATTGCCTCAAAACCTTTGGGAAACTTCTCTCTTGGTATAGAAAAGGCTGTTCAGTCACTACATGATCCTCAAGACATTTACAGCCCAACTAGCCAACCACAATTATCTGTAAATGAGTCTCAACCACTTCTAAAAATTAAAACACCTACATTTGTCACCAATTTGTCACTGGTCTCTTGTGATAGGATGTAAAGTAGACTAAAACGTCTTGAGCTGTTAACAGCATCACTGAGATAAAAACAGAACCTCACCAGAAAATTCCTTCGATTAGGATGCTTTCAAAATATCCAGACAACTGAAACTTGCCTGTGTATTTGCTGCCTCAAGGTTAAAGGGCTAACAGAAGGCAGGAAGATGGGGAAGGTCAGCTTTGCTGGTGCTTACACATGCAGTTTATAGAGTAGAATCAGTTTGTTTATAGACCATCTTACCTCCAAAATGGATTTCAGCTGGCTTAATAACAAGATACATAGAACAAAATAATAACCCGTAATCAAGTAAAAATAAAAGGAGGGATGGAAGACTGAGAAGATTTGTGTCTGAATACATGTTCCTGGCTCTCCTCTTCCTCAAGGCCTTGCAGAGCAACTCAAATGCTTAGAGATCAAATAGAGAGAGGGTGTGTTTCATTTTAATTTTAGTAGGGGAGGGCAGATTTTAGGCCAATCAAAGCACAAAGAAGAACTCCATTAATGCCAGGGGCTTTGGGTTCCAAAGGAGTTTACACAGGTAGAGAGAGTATTTGGTGACCCACTCGTGGGAGTGGGGTGGTTTATAAAATGGCCAAGCACTCACTGCTGGGAAGGAGACCAAGACCCTAAAATCTGGGTCAAATCCACCATTCCCTCAACTGCCCATGAGGAGCCAGCCAGCCTGGCAGAGTGACACCCCTCAGCACATCAGAAGAAATGTTTCTGCCTGCTCACATACACAGTCCCAGGAGAAGCAGTGAATCCAGCTGACGCTGGTATACTCATTCTGTGGTTATTTAATAGACTGTGGGCAGCCACAGTCTTCCAGGCATGTGTGTGATTGTATTTTTAAGCCTAGCATCCTGGGAGCTGCCCCTGGGTCAGAATAGCTGCTTGTTCAGCCAGTGGTTGGTCAGAGGTGGCGGTGAAGCCCCTAATGCCAGGGAATCTTGTACCATTTATTGATGGATCTGTATGCAGCTTGGGGAACGTTTCGCATCTGCACCGCATCCTGGTCTGATGCTCATGAGTGAGTGCAGCCTGGGACGCTCAAGCACAGCCTTCCCAGCCCCCAGGGTGGACTGTGTTCCCAGGAGGATCCTTCTTGGCTGTCTCCTTCCCTGGTTCTCTCTGTGAAACTTCTGACTGCCTGACCATTTTGCTTGTTGCTGCTTGGGTCCTGGAGCTGTGAGTACCCTCTTCATTGCTCTCCACCAAGACCTCCACTGTTTTCACAAAGCCTTTAGGCATGGGGTTCTCCTCTGTTCCAAATAGTCAGCCCCCTCAGACAGAGCTGCAGACCTCGGGCAGGATCTCTGTGCCCTGCACAAGAGCTAAAGCTACAGGTGGGACAGCGGCCCACTTGTTGCAGAGTTAGACTCCGGCTCCATGAGCGGGAGCGGAGGTGTGTAGCCCCTTGTCTTCCTGGCTTGCCCTTCCTGGTGTAGGAATTAGCTGGGGTGAAAGCTTTAGGGCCCGGTATTCTTGGTCTGCCACACCTGGGGTGGAGCTTCCGCCGTACTAGTGGAGGCTGGGTTGAGGAAGGGAGCCCCTGTTCTCTCTACATCGTTAGTGTGGAATAGAACGTTAGCTGGAGGAGTGAGCAATGCTGGCAGCCTGCTGACCCAGGGTGAAATGACAGCCTCAGACTGGGAGCTTGGGAGAGGGCACCTGACTGGATTAGTTTCCATAAGACACAGTTGGAAAGACTGGGTTGTGGCTCAAATGCCATAGACCCTCACTGTTCTTACCAAGATTTAGTAGATTTTCTTGAATGAATGATTCTCCGTTTGCTGGATGCCTTTAGAACATTTTCTACAAATGTTAAATGATTGTTTTATATAATTTTCTCCAGTTAAATGGTTGCTTATTGGGAAGAGAGTTCATTCTGGAAGTTGGCCTCCTAAGTTCAAGTATTTTGATAAATATAAAGCAAGGGGATTTTGAAAAAGCTATTTGAAATAGGTACTCTACACATATATCTAACTCATTTAATTTAATTATTGTGAACTGATTTCCACCCACTTATAATGTGGATACTGTTTCTCTTATTTCACAGGTAAGGACATGAATTCAAAAGTTATGGTAAATCCTTGGAGCCACAGTGCCAGCAGTCTAGAGCAGGCGCAGATATACAGATCTGATACCAAAATCTATGCTCCACAACCACGCCAGGCTGCCCAATACCGGATTCAATGGAGACGAAATGAATACGTAAGGAACATGAAATGAACAAATAAATACATGGCCAGAGTCTGAAATCTGACTCTGGTTTCTGCTTCTACCACCAAGCTTTTTGTAATCTCTGATTATGATAACTGATGTGAAAATAGCATAGCAATTAACATCTATTGATCACTTACTAAGTACTAAGCATCTGGCAAAGATTATCTCACTTAATTCTCACCCACAAAGTAGGAACTGTTGTCCTGGGGTTATGGTACTGGCCCCAAACCACAGAGCTATCACACATGAGAGGCAGGGTCAGACTGGAAAGGCCAGCGGGCCAGGGTTACACTGCCTTCCTGCATGGAATTACTATTGACTGTTGCCCAGGTCATGTAAGACAGCTACAAAAATAGTACAGACTTATTTCTTTGGGGAATGTTTCATATGATCCATTATTCTTACTTTTACTTCTGAATTTCAGAGTCAATTGTTTAATTCTAAAAGATGGCTCTTTTACTAACAATTTTGTCATTAGTCAGTATTTCCTTCAAGCAACTAACTAAAATTTCTATTTGTTATAATTTAAGTCCTTGACTTCAGTTTTTGCTTTTCATAGAAACTGGACAATTCTGTTTACCAATTTGCCCAGCACGATCCTTTATATTAAATCAGCAACTACTAAATATGTGATATCTGTTCACAGAATATACAGGATCTTGCCTAATAAAGTAATGACAACTCGTTTAATCAAAATTTTCCCTCAAGAGCAATCAGATTTCTTTAGAGAGTGTGATGGTTAATTTGATGTATCAGCTTGGCTAGGTTATGGTAACCAGTTTTGGGTTACCAACATCAAACACCAGTCTAGATGTTGTTGTGAAGATATTTTTTAGATGTGATTAAGATTAAATCAGGAGACGTTGAGAAAAGTAGATGACCCTCCACAATGTGGATGAGCCTCACCCAGTCAGTTGAGGGGCTTAAAAAAAAACACTGGTTCCTCAAGTAGGAAGGAATTCTCTCTCCAGAATGCTTTCAGACCCAAATTGTAACATAAACTCCTACCAGAATTTCCTGCCTGCTGTGAGCCAATTCCTTAGAATCAATCTCTCTCCCCATACGTATACATACATGCATATACACACATATATGTATATACACACATGCATATACACACATATATGTATATACACACATGCATATACACACATATATGTATATACACACACACCTCATTGGTTCTGTTTTCTGGAGAACGCTGACTAGAACAGAGAGAGAGGAGAGGAGGAGAAAATTGAAGCAGAGAAGCAGGGAGATTTCTGAGACACTTTTTTATGCTCACCCATGACTGCAAATCTGCACTCTGCAAGTGAAGCTGTATGCAAGGGAACCTGCTGGCTTCCCATCTGGACTTCACTTTTGAATGTGGAAACTCAATAGTTTCCTATAACCAAACCCTTCATCCTTTTTTCTTGAAACAGGTTTTTGCCACCTTCCTTTCTCTTGTATTTCCACAGTCCTAAATCCTATTCTAAAGAGAAGGTGCTAAGCTAATAATTCAGTACTTAACAAATTTATACATCATAACAGAGTCACAAAAATAAAATTCAGAAATTCAGTGTGGAATTAAAGTATACTCTTATATTAGTTTCTTTCTCCTTTATGCTTGGAAATAATAATTGAACTAGGGATGGGTTCCTTGAGATGAAACATATCAAGCACTTTCTAAGCCTATTCTGAGAGCAAATATTATATTAAAGGAAAGTAATTTCTCACCATTTATGAGTCTCTGTCAGTGAGTTCTCCTCTGCCTCTTGGTCAATTTTAGCTAAAAATGCAAGAAAAGAAAGAGAAATGACATAAACGATAAATAGTTATACATATCTCAAGCAAAATATGATGCAAATAATACAAAATATATTTTAATTCTTTATTCATTCTAATGTACTCCAGTCCAAAGTTTATTTTAAATGTATGAATAGGTATTATTGACTAGATCATATTTAATTTTCATTAAGTTAATACCATTATATTGACACAGATAAAATATATTACATAACCAATTACAATTTTTAGATTCCAAGTAATTTCCTTTTCTTTCTAAGTAATGTCTTTAAGTCAGTGACATTAACCTGAGAAAACAAAACACTAGCTAATTTCATATTCACATCAAATGTGTTTGGCAAGGATTTAAATGCCAATAATTAGTTGAAAGCAATTATCTCAAGCAAAAGTACAAAAGCCAAGTCGAAAAACTAAATAGAAATGGTACGTGACCTTCTTCCCTAGTGCTCTCCACACCAGACCACAGGTGAGTAGACCCAGAGATTAGTCCCACAGAGGAGCAAGATAAAAGACCGACATTGTGTACTACTTGAAAGTAGGGAGGTGACAGTGTACCCATTTATTTGCTATCATTTTTGTCTAAAAATAAAGAATGTAGCCTGACACAACTCAGAGATCAAATTTGGGAACGAGATTACATCACTATTTTCAAATTATATAAAATAACATAGGTCTCCACCACACAAAATAAGTATGGCAGTGACTTGCATGTTTTTGACCAGCAAGCATTCTAGGAATTTATGTATTACTCTACACGCACACACACACTCTCACACATACACAACACAAATTTTCCAACAATATTCTTACTTCATGCAAAGCTCTCTAACATTTTTAGTCCATTCTCTTAGATTTTAAAATGCTGGTTGTGACCCCCTAAATTGATTTCATGCTTCACTAATGGTTTGTGACACCCATTTTGAAAATCACCAAGCTACAGGACAAAAAGCAAAAAAAAAAAAAAAAAATCAATTAAAAAACTCTGGGACTAGTGAAAGAAGACGTTGTCCTTTTACAATCACTCCCCTTTGGGTCACACTTGTGGCCACTTGGAGAAATTAGAAGACAAAGTGGAGCAGGACAAATTGATTATAAGAAACTGGAACCATGCTCGAAATCAAACCCAGGGTCACTCAGGAACTGTCCAAGTGTCTCCATCACTACTTAAAACACAGGAGTCCAGCCTGGGCCGGCGACCGTTTTATAACCTCAAGACAGCGCTGCTCGAAGGTCTGCACAGGATCTGCAGAGCCATAAAGGAATGTCACGCTGCCACTCTGGGCCAGGACTGTCAGAACCACACAGGGATCATCTGAGCTGGCAGCAGAGGGCTTTTTTCCCCTTTCCCTTTTTGTACTTGAGGTTGTTTACATAAACTTACAGGTCAGTCGTTAGCCATATTACAAAACAGAATAAACGTTCCATGATTTTACTTTGAAAAGGCTCCAACACGAACTTATTGCCTTATAAAATCTGCTCTGGCGCTGCCCAGCATAAAAGCGGTTTGCTTCCAGAAGCAATTCTAGAATCACATCGAGTTTGTTTAAGGGAAAACAACGCAGCGCCAGAAGGCATACTACTCTCAGGAAGGACATTCTTCCATTCACCCTCGCGTGTCTTTTCTTTTCTTTTGTAAAATACTGATTAAGACTGAGATTGGAAGAAAATTTCTGGACTGTTTTAGAGGAATAAAGTAAATGATTTATGAAATTTAAAACACACTGGAATGCGATGCCAGAGATCTGCGTGCTATTCCTGATTCTGCCACTAAAATTAGCTATGTAATCTTTGGCAAATAGATTAATCTGTTAAGATACGCAAAATATTTAGCATACTGCCTCCAATATCTAGCAGGGGCTAAATAAATGTTCTTTGAAAACGTTGGACTTCAAGCTCTTGAAATTCTTACAGCAATATAATACATAATTATGTTTAACTGAATACATCAACTGCTATTTTATTCTGTTTCAACATTATAGGCAGATAAAGAAAACACATACATACAGCTTTTCAAAAAGCATAAGCCCCTAAACGGTGGTGAGTGGAATGAAGTCATTTTCACTTGTTCAGAAGGATTCCTTTTGATGTGTACTGAAACAGCTCTTGCTTCATTGCCTGAGCAAGTTTGGCTGAAAAAACACTTAATCCAACGTGGCAGAAGACTGATTCTTACCAAAGGAACAAAACATAAAAACAGACCCTCTTCCTAAACCTGAGAGCCATATTACAATCACAAAACCAAATTGGAATAGAAGAGAATACTTAAAAATGCCCTATTATCCATTATTTTTACATGATTTTGAAGCTAAGAGGATTTGTATATTCAAACTGTAATCAGCTTTGATAAACAGTCAAATGAGAGATCAAAGAAAGTGCATTAGAGTACACATTTCAACTCGATGTAGAGTCAACAGTTCAATGAACTGAACAGATTTTCCTTTGTATGGCAATCTTAGAAATAAAAGCTTTCTGAAAAGTTGGGGTGCAATTCAGTTTTCTGGGAACACTGAGATAGCGTTTTCCACCATAATGCTTATATAAACACACCATCAACATTTTGTTGTCAAAATTCTTTTAAACACACTTACGATGTTAACTTAGTGACAAATGCAGGATTTGGTTTCTTTAGGGAAACCAAAATGAGGATGTAATCTACCAAACTAAAATACAATGTAATTAAGTTAGTGAAAATTAAGATACCTTTTAGGAACAAAATAAGAATAACTTTGCCATTCATTTAGGAAGTACCCAAGCTAATCATACGCAATGACCAAAATCTTAGACCAACTGTGTTTCTCTGTTTGAGGAAGAACTTTGACAGGCTGTGTGTCATCTGTGTTATACGCACAGCTTTTCAAGTAAAAGCTGAAGGTGACATAGAAATAAGATTATTGTCTATAAACCATGTAAACTTCGTATTGCTAATTATTTTATTCCCTGACCTATTTTTTAAGAAATATAAAAATTATTTGCAGTTAATTTCTAATGGCAGAGAGGGCTTTGTGCCTAGTTTAGAAAGCCAGTGTTACTTTTAGAAGCAGTTTCCTACATATTTACAGCCTGCTATCAATAAACTTCATTACAATCAAGTATATGAAATGAACTATATGAGAAGAGATATAAAAGATTCTAACTTTATACTTCAAGCAAGATTAATTTTCCCATTCTTTATAGCACATTGCTCGTTTCTTTTCTGACTTATCAAATGAAGATGGCAGCCTTCTACTCATTCATGATAACGGTAACTATAGGAAAGCTAAAAAAGCATTTAAAATAGACAAAGAGGCACAAGGCTTGGTTTGTGGCGATCATCCAGTTGTCACCCAATCGCCGGAGGTTCCGTGGGCCACAGCCTCCCAGGAAGCCTGGACCGCCTTCAACAGAGGCATCTGTGTGACTCCTAGTGGACACCACTGCCCACGGGCCTCCGGGCCTGAGATCTCTGGGAACAATGCCTCTCCCACACCTCACATGAGAAAGCTACACTTCTTTGGCAAGCTGCTCTCGATCACTCTGCCTCTCGTTTTCACATCCCACCAGGGTCAGTGTTGGGGGTTAGAACGTGAGATTCAGAGTCAGGCAGACCTGGGTCTGATTCTAGATCAGCCACTATGTTGTGTTTGATTTTAATAACTTTTATAATCACTTTGATTTAATAACTTTTCCTTTTCATGAAAACAGGGTAATTTCTTCTTCACTGAGTTGCCTGATTAAGGAATAAGCACAGTAATAATCCTCCCGTCTTTCCTGTCCTCTCCACATCATCATGACTATAAAAAAGGACGGGGATATGTTGCTTTCAAAATGCAAAAAGTTTTCCACCGTAGGAGCACCAAATACCTTCTTCTTAACTCTTCTGTAGATAGAGTCCAGATTCAGAATGAGGTTTACATATTGCTAAAAGAAGGTGCCTCCTTGTAACGATATAAAGAAATTACAGGCCAAGAAATATCACAGTGGACTCAAAGATTTTTACAAAATCAAGGAATAATTCTAAGATATATTTAATACCTTTTCTTTCTTTTTGTTTCTACTTAATTTGTGTGTAGTTGTTTTCATAGGACAAGTCCCAATGCTTATAGCATAAACAGAGGCCAACAGTCGCCTAGTGCTTTTTTTCAAGTCACAGCAGTAAATGAAATTGCTGTAGGGATACGACAGTGTCTTTTGTAAATTTAGGGAGAAACTACTGAAATCCAACAGATAAAATGATTTTTCAAAAGTTTGCAACGCTCCTCTGAAGCATACCATTTTTATTCTGTACATATTATGGGTAACCATTCATATCTTGATGTTTGAGCTGCTCCACCAAGAAAATGTCCTGAGACTGAATATACTGAAAACCGAGTTTGAAGTGGAGAAGGGTGAGAACCAAGATGGTGAAATAAAGCAATCAATTCTCTACTGATACTGGAGGGAAGGAGAGGGTTAAGAAAGTGTGGTTTAAGAAAGAGTTAAGGAAGAGTGGTTTAAGAAAGAAGTAAAGAAGAGTGGTTTGTACTGACAATCTCCAGAGAATATCAGTAACTCACTTTAACAGACCTAAAGTCTAAAATTGTAGAAATAAATGGACCTTATAGAAATTGATCAACCAGTGGCTGCACTTCAGGGGCAAACTGGGTCTTAGATATAAATCAGACTATTGCAACTGTTGTAGGAACGGTTCCCCTTTCCCCCCAAATCTGGAGAACTAGAGACCTGCAATTTGAGGCCGAGGAAGCCTGTGTTTGAAACCATATGATAAAAGAAACACTGAACTCTTTAGGAGGCAGCCTTCATTTGTTTATTTCATTAAGTTTTTTTCCATCTATTTATTTATTTTAGGGTTAGGGTATAAGATTACCTTTCAGGGCCAATCTACCAATTGGCATGGACAGTCTTATGCCTCTAAATATGCAACCAGTTAAAAATAGTGTTTTAATGATTCGGTTTCAGCATGTCGGCATTCAGTGATGTCTTCTCCAACAGCATAACACTTCCTTC